ATGAAATGTTTAGATGTCTTCTTACATCTATGCTCTTTATCCTGTGTACATTTAGTCTTATATTGTATGTAAGAGGAAGGCTTTTAATTACAGCCTCACTTTTACTTCAAGTAAAAAAAAAAAAGGTTCCGTCTTTCTGAAGTTCAAAGCGTAGAATGCTTGGATGTTCAGGAAAACACAAAATACACGTTTTTTCAACTAAATGGCTTTCAGAGAATAAACGTTAACTTGAGAAAAGTTGAACTAACTTGTTCTGAAATAGTTAACATATTCTATTTTCCTATTAATGTATTTAACTCTGTGTTTATGTGTGTTTTGTGCACTTAGTTTTGTGTGATCCGGCTACAACATTTTTAGTTTGATATCTGTGGCATTCCATTATGAAAAAATGTTAAGAGCTGTTTCCACTGATATAATTTTCTAAACTTTGTAGTGAGTTCATTTGCATAGAAAATAAACAATGGCTTTATTCTAAGATTTTGACAACAAAGGATACTTTCTAAAACTGTAATGTCCTTTTCTCTCCACATATGCTTCCTGCTGATCTCATATCTTTGATTCAGGGTGCTTTAAACTTTCTAATTCATTGCAATGACAAACTTTAAAGCAACATATTACCTAGAAATTATACTTCAGCTTTTTTCAGCTATTTCAGACCCACATTCTGAGGTCTGTTCTGGGCCATTGATGCCAGAAAAAAAGGAAAAAAATGGGACATCCATGATTATAACTTACCCTTTAATTTCTTTTTGTGGACCTTTTGATTTAGCTTTCCTTATATTAATTTTAAATGATTTATGTTGCCAAACAAATGAAATTAAAATAAATAAATACCTATTAGGCATTGAAACAGTTGTTGCGCACCCTACAAGTTCACTTATCATAAGCTTGTGGGCAGAGGCGCACCTTGTCAACAGGCAAACCAAGCAACTGCTTGGAGCCCCGAGCCGCTGGGGGGCCCCCCGAGAGCCAGCTACTGTACACCCGGTAGATAAACAGCAACAGGCGAGCATGAAGTGGCAACGCTATAGTAACTGAGGAGATGCACAACTGCATATAAAAATTCAGATTGGATGGAATGTTGATTGACATTGGCTTTGCCCAGTCAAAATCCAGCCCAGCCCAGATGGATGACTTCCCTTAATGAAAATGAACGTAGCCTAGCGAATGGGTGACATTGTAGGCCTATCGTTCAGTAAATTGGAAAGCAATTATGTAACTAAGCTGAAGGAAAATGATTCATTTTCCTTGTCTCAAGAGAGACTTTCAGGATAGTGTGTGAAGGTCTTTGGATCTGGAGGACTTATGTCTGCATTTGCACAAGCCAAGGCCCGTAAGCAGCAATTCTGGAAGCAGCATAGGACCCCAATCATTTCACTACACTTCCTTTATATTTTGTACAAAGTTTATATTGGGTTTTTAAAGTAATTTACTGTTTTTTTTTATTTTATTATACATTTATTTTAATTTATTAATTTATTCTTTACTTTTATTCTTTTATATTTTCCAAAATAACAAGGTTGTTCATGTTTAGAACATTTGGAATAAAAAAAAGGTTTTATTTAATACATTTTTCATTGGTGTCAGATTATTTATAGCCTAACATAATGGTGATGAACACTTGTCAGTAGGGCCCCCTAGGATTTTTTGCTTGGGGCCCCCACAGACTCTAGAATCGCCTCTGCTTGTGGGAATAAATGTGAGCTGTGCGATTGAATTATGGTGGCATTTTAAATTACACTTCCATCAAGGATCAGTACAAATATAGGCTGCATAACTCAAAACTAACGATCATACAAAAATATTCCATCTTCATAGACCACCTGTTAGTATGTTCATACAAAATAAAGTTTCTAAGGAAAGTATAGGTTTTATATTCTGTTCTATAGGTGATGTGTACAATACATTACTAGAGCTGAATTAAACATCTAGTGGGGTCCATAAATAAACCTGTTAAAACCTTACCTAACTTGATTTAACAGTCACTCTGTTGTAGCTGCTTCACATATCAGTTTATAACTGACTAGATTAACTTAAAATAAAGTGGATTTTTGTATAAATTGAATATTTATTTTATCTATACTTTAGCTTTTAAATTTAACTAATTGAGGGGTCATTCAAAAAAGCAACGTTACAGATAGTTTCAAGATACGGAAATCGAAAATCTAATTATTAATGTTCAACTTGGGAAGGACACATGTCCACAGTGGAAATCTGGGACCCATCAGTTTGTGAAATAACAGGTTAACACATTTTACTCTATTATGACTAACTGGGTCGCCTCTCTTTCATGCCTTTTTACATGAAAATATTTCACTGTGAAAACCTAGTTTACTGTTAAAATTTCGAACACAGAAAGTATTTACAGAAAAATGCTTCTATGTTAATTTTCTATGCCTGCTTCTGTCTCCTTGAGCCCCAGTCAGCCTCAGCAGAAGGTAGCTTACACCACGCCTTGTTCTGCTGAAGGTTTCTTCCTGTTAAAAGGGAGTTTTCCTCTCTACTGTTGCTGCATGCATGCTTAGTGTGAGGGATAGCTGAAGATCAGGGGTCTGCAACTTCTGGGATTGATGACTGAATATTTTTAAATTTAGATAAGTTAGTAATACATCTTTTTTAACTGAATGTTATTGTTATTGTCTGTAAATGGTGTTTAGATGGCACATTTATGCTCCCCATGTGCATATTTTGATTAACAAATAGAAGAAATCCAAAGTACTGTTTCCCTTATGACCACTGTTGATCACACTTGGGCTTTAAAGTCACAGGTTCCTTTTTGTTTTTTCTTTAGGTTGAGCCTAAAGTTTTATAAAATATCAAAAATCCTATGAGAAAGAACTAGCTCTGAAGCCTCCAGCTAGAGCTCTTTGCTCCTCACTGCCATAACAAAGGGTTGAAGGATCCCTTTGACAGCTTAAAAATAGATTTTGCACTTGAACAGCAGCTGGAAAGATTCGCTGCTTTGTGTCAGTCTCCTAGCAAGCAGGACATGCAAGTAATTTTGAGGTGAAGTGTTTATGGAAGCGATGCGAAAAGAAACAGCTGCTGTTGTTCTCCTCCACACTGGACCCAGGTTGTAGTTAGGTTCTGCATGACGTGAACCTCCTATATTTCACAGTTGAAGTTTCTTTTCAATTAACAGTCAGGGAACTATCAAACTTCATAATAAATAATGAGGAGGGAGCTATGCTCTTCATTTAACCAACCTTAGAGGACCTCTTTGCTAACATTTGGAAAATATCCCTCTTGTGACACAACATATGATCACATCTCAGAAGCAGATGCAGAAAGGACTGTTTTAAATAGTTACTATACAAACAGATATTTTTTTGGCACCCATATACATATTGGGCCTGATCTTCAAAGATTCTAAATAGTGGATGCTAAAATGCATATGTAAATTTTGTCGTGCGAACAATAAGTGGGCGTGTTACAGGTGATCAAAAAAGATTCCTGTGTAATTTTTAAGACATGCAGATGAGTTTTGCTCTGCATTATGAAAATGAGCAGACTGCATCGGATCCCACCACTTTGAGAGTATATATTAACAATGAAAATAGTGTATATATGTTATAGTGTATTTCGAAAAATATTGCCTATCTGAAAGAGCTATGTACTAAAGTAAAAAAAAGATGTAAAAACTAAAGTTTAAGTTAAAAATAAAGATCATGATTTATGAGAAATTTATCTTTGTCTGCTGATTGACCTTCCTAACCCACCTTGAAAAAGGAGGAGTTGTAGCCTGTTTTACACTAGAATACACCTTAAACAGTTTAATGTGTCCCCACTAGCTCCTCTCAACAGCAGCCTGACCCTGCATAATGCAAAACTAGGAAAAGTATAATAATTTCATAAAACATGAGCCTGTTAAAGAACATTAAGGGAGACAAAAATCCCTCTTGCCTCACGTAAGAGATGCACACTTTCAGTCATGCCGCCCCCATGTCTATTTACAGGCTCTGTGATGGATGTTCTCTGGTGGCTCCTAATATCTTATTTTCTTTTAGAAACATACCACAACATTAAATTAGATTTTTTTTCTTTGGTTAAATTGTATATAGATTCTCTGCTGTCCTGTTGCATTACTTTGTGCCGGGTTGTGTGGAAATTTTTTCTTCTTTAATATTATTCAACTTTTTCAGATGGTCCTAATATGTTTTAAAGTACAGTGAATCTCTCTCCATCCTCTGTCATCCTCCTTTGTGGCCACAATGACCACGAAAGTTTTGCACCTTACTTTCAGAAATGCTAAATGAGAAGCCAAAACAGCTGCTGCAGTTGAGATTCTGATTTGGAAACCACTTTACACATGGTAAATGTTCACATTTGCATATCCTCCACCCATAAATTATTGTGGTCTGGTCATTAGATTAAGATCTGCATACTAAAGAAGGCACACACTCAATAACAGATTTGCAGACGCTTTCTGCTGAATTGCTATACAAATCACTTTTCACCTTCTGCTCTTGGGATCTGCTCTAAGCATTGGAACCCGTTTGCATCTTTTTGAAGATGCGCAAACCTTCTGGAGACCAGGTCCTTATGTGGGGCTCACACTGAACATCTTGCAGCTGCAGTGCAGGTATGTTGCAAAAAGTCTCTCATGTTGAAATCAGCCGGTCCAGCTGCAGAAATGGAGCTTAAGAGGGAAAAAAATTAACTCTTCCAACAAAACTCATTATTGGTGTGCATAAATATGTCTTTGATGGGGCTATTTGACAATCTAGGTTGCTGGGTTAATTTTATTCTGAAATTCTCCTGGAGTTTTTTCTGTCTGGTGTCCGGCTTTATGGCTTGTAAAAATCAGGAGCTTAATGCAGAAACCTGCTGCTGCATCCGGCCAAACTTTCTTATTGCTAAAAGGATATCCTATTGCTGATGTCAATGTACACAATGGTTTAAATGATTTGGGTTCCCTGCACCTGCACAGCAGTTGCACTGCATTCAGTGTGAGCCTGGTATTAATGTATTTACTGATTTTGTTGAAGTTTAAAAAAATGTTACCATTTTGTTTTAAAATGTAATATAATTAAGAAACTACTGAATAACTACTGGAACAGTTTGTGGTGGAAAGTATCCCCATTGTAAAATATTTTAACTTATGTTCAGTGTGAAGAAATAGAACAGAGGAATTAAGATAAATGCTCTGCATGGGAATTCAACTGTTCTTGAGGCACGCTTGATTATTGTGGCTTTAAGCAGCCGTTTAGTTTGCATCTGCCTTGGACTGGCCCTTTACACACCTTTGTATAAATACTGGGTTTTTCAATGAACCATCTACAAATAGTGTCATAGCAAACAGTTCTTTTTTCCAAACTAATGCTATATTTTATATTAAAAGATAGTGGTGGAGTGAAATAGTTAAGGAAGAATGCTTCCTAAAAGTAAACGATTAGCAGCATTCCAACAAGTACACAACCACTCTGGTACAGTCATTGTAGCTGCTGTGCTATCTTTTATATTTAGTGGCTCAAAAATAATTGGTAGTGAATACAAAATTGATTAGATGTCTTTCGTTAAAAATCAAATGTATTAAATTTTCATGCCACTCAAAAAAAAAGAAGAAAAAAAGCTGATAAATCTCATACGACATGCTCATACAAACATTTAGTATTAAAGAGGAAAGGAGGCGGTGTCGTTTGGAAAGCACTGGTACTGTCATGTTATCAGAAATGGAGATATATCCCCGATATAAAAACTATTTTGAGAAGGAAAAGGTGGCTAAAAAATATTACTGCATTAGGCCACACTGATGATTGACTAGCAGGGTTTGGGTCAAGTTCACATATCCTGATACACTTAGAGAAACACGCACAGACAGGCACAAGGTTTAACCACTACATGACCTCTTTGAATCAACCTGCTATCAAAAGACATGAAACAGTCACAGCCTGAAAGGCTTTCAGCAACAAGTCCTGAAAAAGTTGGGTCAGCATCTCCTGAAGAGAAACTACAAAGAAATGTATCACAGCAAAAACAAAACCATACCAAAAAATTAAAAGAAAAAACAGCTGTTTCTGCACTCAGTGGGAGGGTTCAGCACGACATTTTACACCCATTTCTTGGTCTTCTGTTCACAGCAAAAAATATAAATTAAATACTTAAATCAGGAGGTAGAGAGTTCCCACTGAACTCTGAGTGTCTGCTGCATGCTATCTGTCCTCAGTGAAACTCTAAAAGAAGGGCCTCAGATTTGTGTGTGGTGGTGTGTGTGTCCAGGCGGAGTGTATGGTGGCGGCGCAGGGTTGGGTTTAATTCCTCTGCTCTTCATGTAGGAAATAAACTGATCTGGGATTTCTGCCAGCACGTCCTTGGCGAGCCGTGCCATGCTTAACACGTGGTTTCCTGTCCGGTCCATGTAATCTCTAAAAGGAACAAACTGAACAACAAAAACAGATAAGAGATACACATCAGGATAATACATAAATACATTCTTGAAAATCTTTTAAAATTATCTTTTTTGTCTTCACTTAGCTTTCCAATACATTACTTTGGACATCAAATAAAAGAAAGGAGATAAACTGGTGATTTTTATTTTTGTTTTCAGCCATTTGAGATGAAAATACGATACTAAATTGTTGTCTGATGCTTTGTTAACAATAACGCTAAAACCATAATTGCCTTTAAAGACAGGTTTCTTGCCAGCATAGCAGGTCACTAGGCTTTAAGCCGCTATACTATCTTTTTTATGAGCCAAACGGCCCTTTGACTCACATCTGGGCTTCCTATCTAGGACTCTCTCCAGCGCATTTAAGCACAAACACTGGTTAAACTCAAGGTATTTAAAATCACACTGAAAAAAGTCTGATACACTGAATTATAATAAGTGGAACGGCTGTGGAAACAATGTTTTTAGACAACATTACTTCCATTTTTATCCATATGTGAGAAATGCTCTGTAAAAATGCACCATTTAGGCTCTGTCAACGACTCATGGTCGCTTGCGTTCAGAACACCAAGTGCTAGTCACAGTGCTTTTTCCATATCCAATAAAACACAGCATTACTTTGCAGTTGCGTAGCTACCATACTGCTGCTGCAGGTTGATCAGATCAACTTTTCTGAGTCAATCTGATAGTTCACATATTAAAGGGGATGTGAATATTGCCTTCAATGTGCAGAAAACATCAAAAGAAGGAAGAAAATTTGAAATCGTGGCTAGAACCACACTGAACGTGAAACCTGCAGACATTTTTCTAATTTTTCTTCCTTTTGTTCGCCTTGAATTTCCCCTGTTCATGGAAAGCATTATGTACTGCATGCAACTTCACATGGCAGGCAAGAGTTTCCATACATCATGTAGTCTAGTAGCTGTTAGTTTCACCTCGACATGGTGGACAGGGAATTCACGGAGCGGCTCGCAGTGCTTTTTTAAGTTTTGAAAGCCGAACAAAGCTGTAGGCATCCCTGGGTTCCCTTGGATTCTCTAAAGATGGAACCAGTATAGAGAATATCGCTATTTCCTCTGAAAGCAACATCTGGATAAAGGTCTCTTTTAGTGGCACATTTTTCCATCTGCTGTCAACAGACAGAGGTTGTTACTAATTTGGCTAAATTTGGCAAAAACTCATCAGTCGCTTCCCTAGAATCGTGTTCTTCGCCTTGCTTTGCATGCTGCTTGCTTTTTTAACTCTTTTTTTTACAACAACAGATATTTTTGTTACTATCAGCAGTTTGTTATAGCAAAAAACAATATACACTATATTGCCAAAAGTATTTGCTCACCCATCCAAATTATTGGAATCAGGTGTTCCAATCACTTCCATGGCCACAGGTGTATAAATTCAAGCACCTAGGCATGCAGACTGTTTTTACAAACATTTGTGAAAGAATGGGTCGCTCTCAGGAGCTCAGTGAATTCCAGCGTGGAACTGTGATAGGATGCCACCTGTGCAACAAATCCAGTCGTGAAATTTCCTCGCTCCTAAATATTCCACAGTCAACTGTCAGCTGTATTATAAGAAAATGGAAGTGTTTGGGAACGACAGCAACTCAGCCACGAAGTGGTAGGCCACGTAAACTGACGGAGCGGGGTCAGCGGATGCTGACGCGCATAGTGCGAAGAGGTCGCCAACTTTCTGCAGAGTCAATCACTACAGACCTCCAAACTTCATGTGGCCTTCAGATTAGCTCAAGAACAGTGCGCAGAGAGCTTCATGGAATGGGTTTCCATGGTCGAGCAGCTGCATCCAAGCCATACATCACCAAGTGCAATGCAAAGCGTCGGATGCGGTGGTGTAAAGCACGCCGCCACTGGACTCTAGAGCAGTGGAGACGCGTTCTCTGGAGTGACGAATCGCGCTTCTCCATCTGGCAATCTGATGGACGGGTCTGGGTTTGGCGGTTGCCAGGAGAACGGTACTTGTCTGACTGCATTGTGCCAAGTGTAAAGTTTGGTGGAGGGGGGATTATGGTGTGAGGTTGTTTTTCAGGAGCTGGGCTTGGCCCCTTAGTTCCAGTGAAAGGAACTCTGAATGCTTCAGCATACCAAGACATTTTGGACAATTCCATGCTCCCAACTTTGTGGGAACAGTTTGGAGCTGGCCCCTTCCTCTTCCAACATGACTGTGCACCAGTGCACAAAGCAAGGTCCATAAAGACATGGATGACAGAGTCTGGTGTGGATGAACTTGACTGGCCTGCACAGAGTCCTGACCTCAACCCGATAGAACACCTTTGGGATGAATTAGAGCGGAGACTGAGAGCCAGGCCTTCTCGTCCAACATCAGTGTGCGACCTCACAAATGCGCTTCTGGAAGAATGGTCAAAAATTCCCATAAACACACTCCTAAACCTTGTGGACAGCCTTCCCAGAAGAGTTGAAGCTGTTCTAGCTGCAAAGGGTGGACCGACGTCATATTGAACCCTATGGATTAGGAACGGGATGTCACTTAAGCTCATATGTGAGTCAAGGCAGGTGAGCAAATACTTTTGGCAATATAGTGTATATAAAGATCAATCTCATATTACACTATGTAAACATTCTATCAGCACAGCAGAATATCCCCTTGGCAAATTGGTGGGAAATTCCAGTTGCTTAGGAACCAGTATCCTGCAACTTTTGTGTCCTTGATCCAACTAACCTAATTCAAGTAATTCAATGATTAAGATAACTCTGGAGAACACTGATGAGGTAATTCAGCTATTTGAGCCAGTTGTAGGATACCAGCCCCCCAGGACCTGGAATCGCTAACCCCTGATTTAGCATGTTGAATGCTCTAAGGTGGGTTAAGGTGATGCACTTTGAGATGAATGAGGCTTAGAATTATTTCCTTATTTCCAGGCACTAATGTGAAAACGGACCGAATCTAAAAATATAATGAAATATAATTAATGTATGTACATGCCATACTGTAAATGACATGACAGTGATTTATTTATTTTCCGTTGCCTAATTTCTTTCTGTGTTGAACCCTTGAAAAGCTTATATTTGACTGCATTTATATTAAGATGAGTTAGATTCTCTGCAAACGCAAAACTGCTTTGTATCTTCTGTACCTGTTAGGTACCTGTACCTGAAAAACATCAATAGAGCCTTTTTGGTAAACAAGGTAAGCACTACAAGATCTCAACTTCTGATCTATGAATACTGTAAATTATTTAAAATAATCAAAACTCAAAAGTTTAGCTCTGTGTATCATGCTTTACCTGCTACATAATTACTGTAATCTTAAATGTCTGATGCTTTGGGTACAGAGAGATGGCAGCTCACTGCAGCTGAAACAGGTTGATACGTAAAACGCGCTGGAGTGGCATGCAGTACAAAACCTCTTCCAATGAATTGTCCCCAATGCATTAGCAGAAAAAAGGGTTTATGTTCTCATCTGCAGATTAGTGACAAGTGTTATTTTAGGGTATGCACACCCCAGTGCAGCAGGGAAGCACTGGTGCTGATAATTTGTGACCAAAGTATGTTGGTGAAAGAACACAGACATTTGTCTCGATGTGATATATTTTTTTTGTGCTAATATGCCACATTGGTTTAAAGAGGCATAATCACGTTATATGCTATAAGTTGGAGCATGATGCAATAAAGCTATATATGCCAAATGTCCATCATGATCCATTTTCATTGTGTTTTTTTTCAGCCTAAATAGAATTCTAGCACTTGGCACAATGAGCGAGGCGCCATCTGCTGGCAGTACCACAGAATTATCAGAAAGTAGATGGCACCAATATGCAGCTATATAAAAAAGCCCCACGGACCTCAAAGGCCTCATGGTAAAATGACAGTTCAGCATGGTCGAAGCCAACAGATGGCATTCATTGAATAAACCAATCTAAAGAAACTCTAAGTTCTTGTAAATACTCCTCAGAACCTCCTACCAGAACATTAAGGACAAAGAGAATTCCTGTTTCCAACAAACACAAACTGGAACACAGCTACAAGTTTTGATATACTTGAGTTAAACAAAATAAAAAAAAACAAGGTCATAGGCTTAAACCTTTTCATTGGAATGGATGCAAATTCGACACATTAAACTTCCCTGCTAAGTGGATTGTTGATAAGACCTGAATTAGTTCATCTTGAGTAGCGTTTTGGATTTTAGCTGCTCTGACAAAAAACTGCCCTCTCTTCCCCTACTCTGTTTATCTCATCTCCATGTTCATAACGTTGTGTGTGATAAGGCTATAGGGCTAAGAATAGCATTTTTATTAAAAGTATCAGTATTAATAAGGATGTTTATTTTCACATCTATCAGCTGATATCTACATACTTCCACAGCTTTATCCATTTTAGTGAACACCAATGTTCATAGTGTAATCCGAGCACTATTTAAGGTCTTAACTCTCTTTGGATCTTTTTTTTTTTCACACTGGATCTTGAACTTGCTTATTTTCACAACTTCAGTGGGAGGCGCTAAGTGTCTTATCCAATGGCAAGATAGCTTTGTTGTTATTGTAAATATACACAAATCACTTTTTTTTTAAACAAATTGAGCAAAATGAAAGCATGTAAAAGCATAATAACAAATACTACTTTTCAGAAAACCCTTGTATGCAACCAGAATAGGCTAGTTGCGCATAAATTTGAAAATGTAATTTTACTTGACTATGCCCCTTTAATCTCAATTACCCACAGGTTTTTCTAGAAAAATGTCAGTGTCTATGAAATTTAAGCTCCAGTATATTTCATTCTCTGGAGGACAGTCACCTGTACAATGTCTCTCTCTGCCAGTTTCCCTCGGGATGAGATTCTTATGTCGTCACCATCAAGTTCCACCATAGCTGCAAGACACATAAACATAAGCATGCAAGCATAAAATCATTTAGAATAAAACCTAATTGTAAAACAGCTTCCATAATAACAGATATAAGGCTTATCCATGCTTAAGGAAAGGCTTTGTTGTCACTTTATTCACAAATTATCTTGTAGCCATAGTAAAACTTTAAGTATGTTGACCTGTCTTTATTGTCGGTCTAATCTACTAATAAGTCCTTAATTACAGACAGTGGAATTTAGAAGCACCGGCTCTAAACATGGCAAACCCAGCAATTAACCTCAGCCATTTCTTCTGCTTTTATGCCTGCCTCCACCTACACATTCCCTTCCTTCAGATTTAGTGTGAACTGTAATTCTCTCTGTGAATAACAGCCAGGGGGCCTATCAGCCATAGAACTTATAGAACTATTCTATATATAGATCTATATGTAAACTGCTGAGCACAAGTATTAGAACACCCAGATTTTTCCAGCGTTTTATAGAATATTATTCAGTCTTCAGCCTTTGTTCAGTATTTGTCTCACTGTAATCTGAAATGAAAGCATAGTACAAATAAGCAATTGCATTTATGGAATAATGTTTAGACCAAAATGTACTGCTCATAAACATGGTCATTTGTGGCATTATCAATGGAATTCTTTCTGCAATACAAATCAAATATTCTAAGGAAAGTTTGTGCAAATTTGTGACCATCTATGTACAGTAGTTCTCATAAGTCTGTGGCACATGAACCCCTGACCAACAAGGTGCCGATCAGAAGGTAATGCATGTCCCTGAAGAAGGCTTTGCTAGTTGCTTTTGGTCAGAATGCCTCTCAATTTGCAAAAGTCACTGGCTCGTAAAAATTTTGACGAAAAACAAATATAAATCTGTGGTGTTTCCATTTGGTTTAAAGCTAATTCACCAAGTAACCAAGTGTCATAAAGTTGAAACAGATTTTTCAGTTTGAGGCCAACCTTACCTTTGTTTTAACTTTGGAGGATCAGCACTAAAGGCCAGAACACATCGAATCAGACAGAAAATCGTGGCAGACGAGGTCTTGGCGTGTAGCGCTCATTGAAAGTCAATGGGGAGGATCAACACTGACGCGATTTTACACAAGGGGGTTTCTGTAGGTCTGACTGAGATAGGCCCCAGGTCTATTTTATTTGGACTAAGCAGTAACTCAGCTACAATTTAATGGGTCTGACAGGAAGTGAGATGCGGTTACATATCCCTCACATACTTTGGGGGAAAATACAAAATGAAGTCTGTTAATCTTATTTCTCGTGATAACAAGATGATTGGTGTCTGTTAAAACTGATTACGTACTTCAATACCACAACAGCGGAGGGGTTTTATAACTATAAGTCATGGCAGCCTATGTGTGATTCTGTAAATAATCCTGTGCTTAACTTTTAGGTAATGAGGCGACGTTGTTGGTTTGATTTGCTTCCACTTCTGATAGGCAATCAGACCTATGCCTCTGGTGCCTTAGCGCCGGGTGTTTTCTGAACATCCCCGTTGTTACGCCTGTAACCTGTATAAATGGGTCCAGATTTAAGAGTTTTATTAAAAACTCTTATTTAAAACTCTCTGCTTCTTTCATTACGTCTGCTTCTGTCTCCTTGAACCCCAGTCAGCCTCGGTAGATGGCCGCTCACACTGAGCCTGGTTCTACAGGAGGTTTCTTCCTGTTAAAAGGGAGTTTTTCCCTTCCACTGTCGCTACAAGCATGCTTAGTGTGAGGGATTGCCTTCGAGTCAATGAGTCGATGCAATCAGCTGGTTTTCCTCAGATAGGAAACTTTGAATCAATTGATGATCTGGTCGAATTGTAAAGTGCCTTAAGATGACATGTGTTGTGCATTGGCGCTATATAAATAAACTGAATTGAATTATGTTATGTTAGAAAACAATTCATAGTTTAACCATCAAAACGAGATAGTTATGTCATTATCTCGAGGAGGCAAAGGAAAAAAAAGTTGAGTACGACCGCACCTGGCTTCAGTACTTTCCAGATCTCTCTCTCTGAGAATCATCTCTGCCTCAGTCAGCATATAAACCTTCCCAGAGTGTTTAGTGCTGCGTTTTTCACTTCAGACATAGATCCGTTATGTTTTTAATACAGGCATAGGAATGTTCTTTGTCTGTTCTGTTTTGCACAGACTCGCTTTGCTTTATAGAATGCGATGATGTTTTTTTGTTTTTTATTGGCTTTTCATAATCTGTCCAAGGCAAATGTGAGAAATAGTTTTAATCTGTGTATAGCGCAGACACAGAAGTGAAAGAAATCTGTGAAGATCTGCCCACCCTGCCTCGTCGTAGCCTCCCAATATGCAGTCAGTGTGACATGGAAAAAAATCGGATCAGAGATTAAAAAGTTGTGCGCAACCGGTGTGTTCTGGCTTAAACCAGTGAACCCTTTCAAGCTATTCATTGTAATGGAATTTTTTAAAATATCAATAGAAAACTACAGAAATTAGGGTGTTCTAACATTTTTGACCAATAACGTATATCTACATGGCCTGCATGGCTGTTTCCATGTATATCTATATCTATCTAAATATATCTATACATAGATATAGATATACATACATCTATATATATATAAATATAGATATATATCTAAATGTATCTCTATATATATATATAGATATGTATACATTTATATAGATATATATCTAAATAGACAGCAGAACCCGTTCAAAATTTCCCTACTTTCCTTGATGGGCCTTTGGCAGGGCCCCTACAATTCCTTTTTTAAACATAATAATAATTTTAAACATAGTAATAAAAATATTCACTCTGTCAAGATTATTGGACATTAAGATCCAAAGAGAAGCGTCATATCATGGTCAGACCCTGTAATTCAGTGAAAGGGTTGAGTAAAAAAAATATGCATGCCCAGAAGGACAGTAGCTAGAGGTTGGAGGGGATATTGCTGCCATTCAGCTGGCTTTTGACTGGGGAGGGCCATTTTGAATGGCTGCTACTGTATCTTTTGATAATTTCAAGTGATTTTGAGCAAAATTATTCTTATGAAAAATAACATACAGCCTCATATGCAAGTAATTCTGTTCCGTCAAATGCAGCTCTAGAAGTAACACTGAAGTATTTCAAAGACACTTGGGTGTTACTTTATATTTTTTGCGGACTCTTAAATATTTCACCTCCACAACCTTTAACAAAGTGAGAGCATAGCTGCTCTGTGACAGAGAGTCAGTGTTAGATAAAAGAAGGCTGAGAGGGGAAAAGTCCTGCTTCTTATCCTTTCTTCTTTCTCTTGAGACCTCCATACAGCCCACACATCCAAGCTGCAAAGCTAAACTTCTGAAACATCTCTGGCCCCAGAAAGACCTGTCAAACGCAATATCTGCTCATTTCACAAACTTTATGTATTTTTTTATGTTAATAGCTTATTAATACAACTTGTGTTAATACTTTTCTGCATGTGCATTTTTTAAAACTTTTTCCACTATCATGTTTTGCAAGTTGTGAGTAAGATCAAAATGCAACCGTGAATGTCGTATAATCATAACACAGCAAACCTTCAGCATCAGAACAAGGGAAACAGAATAATCAGAACAGCTACAAAAAAAACAAAACATGAAATAGTTTTTTTTTACTGGGATAGGAGTTGAGAAATACATTAGATGTGTGTGAATTAATCAGGGACTATTGGATAGCTGGGAGAGGAAAGTGCTGAGCAGGGGGGCTGAGGTATTTTAACACAAACAGAACTCAAATAGACCCAAAGAAAACTACAAGACAAGCAGGATAAACTAATACTGACCTATAAATAATAAAATATACAATAAAAACTAGAACAGAACATAATAAATAAGTAAAAAACTAAACTTAAGGGAATAGAGACAGAAAATTACATAGGGATGACCAGAGTTCTCTGAGGGTTGGTATAGACTGATAGGCTGTTCAGGGTCAGTTTACACTGATCACAGTGTGGCAAAAGGAAAATGAACTGTTTTCTGTTTTCTAAATGAATCACTGACGAAAAACAGATATGAAATACACACGTATTTATTCATTTATGATTTCTAAATGAATAAAGTAGATTTTTGCATCATATACAAATTAAATGTCCCACAGATATATATACACTATATTGCCAAAAGTATTTGCTCACCTGCCTTGACTCACATATGAGCTTAAGTGACATCCCGTTCCTAATCCATAGGGTTCAATATGACGTCGGTCCACCCTTTGCAGCTAGAACAGCTTCAACTCTTCTGGGAAGGCTGTCCACAAGGTTTAGGAGTGTGTTTATGGGAATTTTTGACCATTCTTCCAGAAGCGCATTTGTGAGGTCGCACACTGATGTTGGACGAGAAGGCCTGGCTCTCAGTCTCCGCTCTAATTCATCCCAAAGGTGTTCTATCGGGTTGAGGTCAGGACTCTGTGCAGGCCAGTCAAGTTCATCCACACCAGACTCTGTCATCCATGTCTTTATGGACCTTGCTTTGTGCACTGGTGCACAGTCATGTTGGAAGAGGAAGGGGCCAGCTCCAAACTGTTCCCACAAAGTTGGGAGCATGGAATTGTCCAAAATGTCTTGGTATGCTGAAGCATTCAGAGTTCCTTTCCTTGGAACTAAGGGGCCAAGCCCAGCTCCTGAAAAACAACCCCACACCATAATCCCCCCTTCACCAAACTTTACACTTGGCACAATGCAGTCAGACAAGTACCGTTCTCCTGGCAACCGCCAAACCCAGACCCGTCCATCAGATTGCCAGATGGAGAAGCGCGATTCGTCACTCCAGAGAACGCGTCTCCACTGCTCTAGAGTCCAGTGGCGGCGTGCTTTACACCACCGCATCCGACGCTTTGCATTGCACTTGGTGATGTATGGCTTGGATGCAGCTGCTCGACCATGGAAACCCATTCCATGAAGCTCTCTGCGCACTGTTCTTGAGCTAATCTGAAGGCCACATGAAGTTTGGAGGTCTGTAGTGATTGACTCTGCAGAAAGTTGGCGACCTCTTCGCACTATGCGCGTCAGCATCCGCTGACCCCGCTCCGTCAGTTTACGTGGCCTACCACTTCGTGGCTGAGTTGCTGTTGTTCCCAAACACTTCCATTTTCTTATAATACAGCTGACAGTTGACTGTGGAATATTTAGGAGCGAGGAAATTTCACGACTGGATTTGTTGCACAGGTGGCATCCTATCACAGTTCCACGCTGGAATTCACTGAGCTCCTGAGAGCGACCCATTCTTTCACAAATGTTTGTAAAAACAGTCTGCATGCCTAGGTGCTTGAATTTATACACCTGTGGCCATGGAAGTGATTGGAACACCTGATTCCAATAATTTGGATGGGTGAGCAAATACTTTTGGCAATATAGTGTATATATATATATATATATATATATATATATATATATATATATATATATATATATATATATATATATATATATATATATATATATATATATATATATATATACGTATATACTTGATGACAAATTGGCTACTGGAACAAGACATAGATGGACTTCAAACTTATGGTAACTCTGGAACAACCGTAGAGATCCAAAGCTCACGTGAAAAAACAAATTGGGTTTATATGATATAATAAAGTTTCAAAAACAAGTCCACAAATTAAACACAGCTATTAGAAAAACTATGCTTTCATTTTACCCAGCGGCATGTAAACACATGGAAGGAAGTGCTCTGGAGCATCCCATGAGTGGCAAAACCTTAACACTGCACATCACTTCCCAAGCATGTTACTGTAACGGCCGTATCATGCTGTGGGAATTGTTCCTTTCTTCCACTCACAGTTACGCACTACTTTATCTCAATCTGACTAACAACCCTAACAAAAAACATTCAAGTTTCTGGTTGTGGCTAGAAGTCCAAACTGTTTGAGATCTTTGCTGTGCTGTATGTTTTTGTAATAAAAACTGAAGTTATTTTACCGTCAAACTCAGCTTGACCCACTCCTACAATGATGATGGACATAGGAAGCTTGGCAGCCTGCGAAGGAGTCAGAGTACAAAAGATGTAAAACCAGCATAAAAAAGATTGTATGTTCAAATTCTTTGTCTAAGTTTATATAATCTGATGACATTAACAGTGTATATTGACATCTTACAAGCCAACTGAAATTAACCGATTTTAAGGCAAAGATATAGAAAAGTCTGTAGAGGTTTTTTAATAATTTGCAGTAGTTCTTAGGAACATGTTAGCTGTCAGACCCTCAATGGTAGAATAAACTTAACAGTAACAGAGACACTTCATCGCATAGGCAGATTCATTAGTGCAGCTGCTTGACTTTGGCAGCTTTGATAGCTGCACAACCAATCTAACCACAGCCAGTCACCCGCATGAACCGTTTTTCTCACCTGAGAACATTATAATTTTATCTCCTAAATCAAAGCGTACCTACACAAATCCCTGACCTGCTGGTTGACATTTTAGCTTGGAGGAAAAAAAATTGTTTGACAGTGAACTTGAATAGGTCTTATATTCCAGCAGATGGATGAGCCAGGAGACGAAGGAAGGGGGGGAGGTGCTAGGTCAAGTAATCACAGCCTCCTTTCCCATCCACCTGCCCATCGACTCCAAGCTCTATCTTAAGTCAAGTAAGACAAGGGTTTGGTAAACAACAACATTTTTTGAGTAGACATCCAATAGAATTGTTTGAGGGAGGGGGGAAGGGGTACTGCCTCCTGCTGTGGATTCAGGTGCACTGCACCAGCGGTAGAAGAGCAACAAGAATATCTAAAATTGCATTGTACTGTCTTGGAAAATGTATTGGGATAAACAGGGATAAATTGCATTGTCACACTTTTCATGACACAGATTTTATTACCAAATTCTTGCCGTTTTACAGTCCTAGAAGATGATGAAAATTACCCTAGCATAAGGGGTGAAGATGAAGATTTAAGAGACAAGGAGAGAGAAAGAAGACAATGTATAGAAAGCTAATGAAGGAGAACAGGAAGGAAGAGAGTCAGGGAATCCAGCCTATCAAACTGGAACATCGGTTTGTATTGTAACTTTTTGAAATGTTTTGCTGCCCAGCACAACAATCCCTATTTTTATCTTAATTCATGCTCTGGATTTATTGATTGATTTTTTATTTTATATTTTTTTTTTTAGGTAGCTTATATGTAAAACTTGTTTTTGCCTAATAGAAAGAAAACGATGCAATAACATTTCAATGTTTTTCTTTTTATGTGTTTCGGATTGGATTTATAAATTAGAGATTTATTTTATATTTCAACTAAAAGTTCCAGCCACCCTCCTTCTTATGTAAATTTTCTAGATTTGTAGCTACTTTCTGTAAAATTTTGTCAGTGACAATTAGTTCCAACAGGAGTTCCTGCAAGTTTCTGCCTTTCTCCATCACAATGTATTTTAATCCACCCAATAACCACCTAATATGCATTGAAATGTAAAGATATATAAGACCAAACATACACAGATAATATTAAAGATAATTCTAGCATTTTCAGTCTGTTTATATTTACAAATAAAGTTGTTTTTTCTGCTTTAAAATATATATGGGTGTAAAATGTATTGACAACTAGGAAGATAATTTAGCAAACATATTCTCTTTTAGCATGAAATCATAGTGAAGGGAAACATACACATAAAAAATTTAGATTTGTTAAACAAATAAAAATAAAAAACATGTGGAAGATCTATGAAGGAACTATTTACAGAGAAACATGACCTACTGACATACCTAGAAAGGTTTTAAGCCTCATTAAAAGAGATAAACTTGGGGGAACAAAATATTTCCAATTGTATGTTACTCACATTTTTTAGATTTAATATTTATGTCCATATGAGGCTGTTTTGTCAATAACAAAATACACAACATTTCATGTTTAAAATGTAATCTTATCTCTAATAACGTGAAACATGTAGGTGCTCTTAAATATCCCACTATGTTGAAACTTTTTGTACAGGAGCTTGGATTCAAATTAGCTATCAATGTTACTCATATTGAGCTTTGTTTGATCAGGTTTCATTGATAATATTGTTGCAAAAAGTGGGTGAAAGCAGCACTTGTAGCTAGGCAATATTAGAAAAACTGAAGCAGTGGCAGTCTGAATCAGCGGTTGTTGTGGCCTATTATGGTTTTAAAAGTACTGTAAAATTTAAAGGGTTGTGTTTCACGGCAAGAATCAATTTTAAAAGTAATGCAAAGGCATTCTGCATCGGTGGTGACAACGCAATGATTGGATCATTTTAAAATCTAACGTTTGTCCAACAAGAAATGAGCTTCTGTCTAGCTGTGTATTAAGCAAGTGTAAATGTTGTGCTGTAGTTTATAAAAGGTGCGACAATGTTGGGTAAATAGGAATATTTAAGGAAAAAAGTTTAGTAACAAATATTTTCACAGCATTTCTCCATATTTCCCATAAAACCAATTTTTATTGCACTCACCATATAAAAAAACTGTGACTGTAATAGATTTTTTATTTTTTGTCAGGAATCGTGGGAAACTTAATTTTACTTAAAATAGTGAACTTTATGATGAAAACATCACACATTAACTATTTGTTTTGTTTTATATGCAGGCAGCATTAACTTGTACATTAAAGGGGTCATAGAATGCCAAACCAAGTTTACGTTGTCATAGATGGCAGATGGAACTATGAAGGATAGTTCAGTGGGTGAAATGGACATACAGAGAAGTTCAAACCCCATCAACACCTCCTTTCTCTGCCATTCTCACAATTCTAAACTTCCACCATAAAACAGGCGAATTCAAACGAAGCCCCCAATTGACGTCAATTCGGGGATGTTGCCTTATATGGTTCTGGCCTGTACTTTTTGTAACCCCCAGAAATTGACATACAGACCAGCCTACTGCTTCTCTGGCCCAAGGGACAGGGGGCTATGCAGTGTCGACGGCTGGGCCGCTGACTGGACCGGACCTCAGCAAAAAGTCCTGAGCCGCCCGTCCTCAGCTGGAGGAGGGGGGCTGGGGCAGGTGGGGGGAAGCACGGGGCCACCGATGTCCAGGCTACTGTCAACGGGTCGGGTTCGGTCGCTCCGTCCCCCGCTGGCTTCCTGTCCCCGGCGGACGGGGGCAGGGAGTCAGTGAACATGTCCCCTTTACATGTCCAGGAAAAGGAGGACGTCTGGTCACCCTCTTCCATTTCAAAGTTTGAAGACATTTCGCTTCCCCTCCAGGAAGCTTTCTCAATTCAAAGTCACCCTACCATAATCAACAAATTTGATGTTTCAGTGAGTGAGTACTTGTTGCTATGATGCATCTTTTCTCTGCAGCTTCACTAGTTCTAAACCAACCAATCAGCACACAGCTCATCTAAATATTCATGAGCATACCATAAAACTGTCGTTTCATTCTAGGGCTTTTAACCAGGCTGCATTAGGGCACATAGAACAGCAAATAAGCAATTTTCCTTAAGGACAGGCACCAAATACTCTATAGAATCATTATATGACCCCTTTAATGCTTGTTCTCGTCCTTTTTTTATTTGTTGCCCTTGAATTTTTGTTCCTACTTTGTGACCAACCAACATGACATATTGTCCCATTTTAGCCCCAGACCTAAATAACATTTGTTGGGATTTTACTCAACAGATTATCATGGCTAAGAAGTGGGTTAAATTAAAGCTGGCTTTTGTATAAATAAAGTAATATAAAAGTTGTCCATTTGTCCATTAGCCCCCCTTCTTTCTGTTTTCTCTCAACAAAATCCAGAGTAACCCATTAAAATCACCTCATAAAATCCTCTTTAGGCAAATTCAGGGATTCGTGTTTGTTTATTATTTAAATCTTTGTTACCCAGGGCAGTACCAGTGCCAGCTTTGTGCACAAGTGATTCATTTGTAATGTGACACATGGAGAGGAGTTGGTCTCCTCTCTGCTCTGACTGCAGGCGGGATTTGCTGCAGCCGCATGGGGCAACTATGACGACCTGTCAGTGCTTGGGAAGTGGGAGGGGCTCATTGCAGCACTCGTTGCTCAGCAGAAAGATTTGTGCTTTCATGCGTAGTCAAAGACACCAACAGTATTAAAAATGTCAGTCAGTATTTTGCTATTATTCTTTACATAGTCAGCCAATGGTGGGAAAAGTTGATAAATATAGCTGCAAAGTTTATGAATTGGCAAGGTAAGCTCAGCAAAATGGAAAAGAAGATGGGTGGAGCTAAAAAAAAATATGCAGAGTCCTGCAAGGAAATCATGGTTTTGGGAAATGGATTTTATATGCTCAAATGTAAATCATAATTTAAAATTTGAATTTTAGGAAAAATATCAAAAAAATTTAAATTTTTAACAACATAATTTAGTTTGTGTATTACATAAAATCAGAAAAAAATTATAACTTTGGAGTTTCAAAGTTACAAAATAAAGAATACATTATACTTCAACACCATAATGCCTGAACAGCAAAACAATACTAAAATCATAAAGAATTTTTTTAACTTACCGTTGAACATTTTGACAAATAAGAAAATATAACTATTTGCACATTGTCGTTGCAACTTCAATCCTTTTCAGCACATAAGCTATTTCTGTGCAACTAACAATGCATTTTATGGGGTAAGATAACTGTCAATCAAAATGTATGTATAGGTGGCAGAATTTGGAAATGTAAGTAAATAAAGGCTAACAAATGTAAGACTTTGATTTGTTCCTCCTTGTCCGCTCCTACAAGCATGTGACATTTAATGTTTTATCAGTAAGATACAAAAAATTAGAAGTTACAATTGAGTAAAAATAGAGTGGATGAGTATTAAAACATTCACTCTGTTTTCTTCTTCTTCTTGTGTAATGCTGGTTGGTGAAGAATCTTTTTAGGAATGGCTGGTAAGGAGTGTAACAGCTTCACCAGGGGTTGTAGATTGTCACTTTTAATATTGTGATCTGCACTCTTAAGTTTGTGATTTATACTCCTAAATGTGCTATTCATACTTGTAAATTTGTGATTCCTACTAAAATGTAAATGTGTTTTGAATTCCTAAAATGATGATACATAATTGTACATT